GATTTCCTCTCAGTACATATGTATTTGGATTTATAATGTATATTAAGATGTGTCACTAGGATGCTTAGGAATTTTTTTATCACTTTGAAACAGAAAAGATAAGATCCAGATCTCCATTTATTCCTTAGTATTTTCACATTACAAAACATTTTGTTTTGTTTCTGAAACCCAGGATTTTTAAACATCGTCATCATCATAACAAGAACTCTTGCATTACTGCATGTTTACCTCATTGGCAATACACGGGCATTGTTCTCTGCACTATTCTCCATTTTTCTCTCATTTTATCTTCTCAGCAATTCTCTGGGGTTGGCGCTCACTTTCCAGGGAGGAAACGTGTCAAGGTCGTACAGCTGGCAGATAATGGAGTTAACATTTAAACCTAGGCACTCTTGGCTTGAGCAGTTTTTGAATAAGGAATGGAGAATTCCCCATGATCACAATTCTAGTGCTAGACATTTATCCTTGTCAGCCTTCCTGAAGTATTTTAATTACTTTGAGTCTCATTCTTCTAACTGTGTAGATGGTAGATATAGATGAAATCTTTGTGTTTTTAAACTGTTACATCAATTAGAACGTATCTTAAAAATGGTATTGAAAACCATTGGTAAACCTCAGACATCGTTTTTGCCATCATTTTATTGGCCCCCTCTTTCTGTGTCAGAGCACCTAGGAGGTAGCAAGGCCCTACTGCCTGCTCACATGAACCTGTTAATGTACAACGTTCAGGCCCAAGAAGTATTTATGTGTTTGAGATTGGGGGTGGGTATGGGGAAATAACAGTTTTAGAGCATTAGGAAATAATCAAACATAATGACTCTATTCCTGTTACATTTCACTGATTCCAGTTTTTGGCACACTGCAACAGCATTGCCTGCATTTCCTGGTGACTTAGAATTTCTGAGACTTTCTCACTGAGCTGAAAAAGTCTAATTAAAAATTGCTAGTGTTCCCAGGTTATAGCCCAAGCTGCAGCTTGTTCTCCCTGCTGGCAAAATCTTAGCCTATGAGCATCTGTTTTCTTACTTTTGGGCTCCCACTACCATCAAGCAATGGTATTTTTGAGCCTGACAGTTTTGACTGAGGAGTTGGAGGACATATGGGCCTAACACAGGTGATTGGGTGATCCTCTTTTCTGAAATGGTAAGCACAAAGGAAGAAGCAGGTTTGGATTGAGGATTGGAAATAAACATTTCTGATTTGGATATGTGAAGTTTGAAATATCTATTAGATATTCTTGTCTCTGGATTTCATGGAAGATGTGGGAATTATTTGTACATAGATGTTATTAAATCTATAAGACTAGATGGGATGATTCAGAAAATGAATTTGGTAGAGAAGAGAAGACAATTGATGTCTGAGCCTTGGAGTCTGCCAGTGATGAGAGTTTGGGAAGAGGACTGAGGATCGCTTATAGCTTCCAACTCTTCTCTCAGAAATATAAATGCCTTTAGCAGAGATGGGTCCAGGTAGCTCTTGACTTTCATTTAAGGATCTTCATTTTAGGCTAAGAAAAGGCCACTCAGGTAGAGACTAGAGAAAATAGCAGGAAATGAAGTTCCAGGCATACTCATTAGGTTTTCCCTTCCCTGAACTCTCCCCCACTAAACCACCACTTCCTTGACCTCACCCTTCTTTTCCTTCTCTTGTGGGTTTCTTTTTTCAGTCTTGGGGAAATTTTCTGTTTTTCTGATTACAGCTTAGGTTTTTGTAAGGCTGCAGTATATTTTAGAACATTATATAGCTTTAATTTGTAATAACATTAACCAGATTTTGTCATCTTTGTAGTTGGGAACTTTTTGCAGTGTAGGAAAGACTTAAGCATATATCCTTGATCTCACTGAAAATATAGCAGGGTGTTTCTGTGTTCCTTTCCTGCTTAGATTATTAAAATGGTCTTCCGTTTCCCTTTCCTTTTCAAATATGTAGGACCAGGCAGCTTTATTTGCATAACCTCGGGACATTTCCCCTTCTGTGGAAGGCATAACTGTAGAATTCATACCTTACTTTGGCTAATTAACTAGCAAATCCAAAGCTCTTAGAGGAAACATTTGTTTCCTTTTCCCCTTTGGAATTCTAGAGAATGAATTGATTAATAAAGTCAAATTTCTTTTGCTAATTAACTGAAGAGAATTTTTTTGAATGACACCCATTCAGTGTACTGAGTCTTTGCTACACATTGCTATACCTCCCTTTTTGGTTCATAATTGATAGAATTTTATGAAAGATTTCATTTATGGCCAGGCGCAGTGGTTCACTTCTGTAATTCCAGCACATTGGGAGGCCAAGGCGGGCGGATCACGAGGTCAAGAGATCGAGACCATCCCAGCCAACGTGGTGAAACCTGTCTCTACTAAAAATACAAAAATTAGCTGGGTGTGGTGGCATGTGCCTGTAGTCCCAGCTACATGGGAGGCTGAGGTAGGAGAATCGCTTGAACCTGGGAGGCAGAGGTTGCAGTGAGCTGAGATTGCGCTGCTGCACTCAAGCCTGGTGACAGAGCGAGAGTCCATCTCAAAAAAAAATTTTTTTTCATTTATTATAGGCTTGCTATAATAAATTATAGTAAGGTATAGGAATAATTAATGCACAGGTGCACAGGAATGTGCAAGGTAGGTAGACTGTATTGAATGAACAGTTTATTCTCTATAAACAACTCATGAAACCAAGATTAACTTGGTAAAGGGATTCATGTGTTCTGCTTAGAGAAAAATAAGCATGTCTTTATAACTCATGATTCTTTTTTGAGGTCAGTATTTTGACTGAAGCAAGACCTCTTGCCATTCTTTTTATGTCTTTCTTGTATGTGATGACAACCTGTTGTCTTAAAAAAAAAATTCTTTAAGCTCCAAACCAAGGAAACGTAAAGAAAACATTTGGATAGTCACTTATACTTTGAAAATTTTCGTGGACAACTATAGATCAAAGGACTGAAAAGAAAGCCCCTTCAAAGATGGTCTAGTTTATTATTTCACCTCTAACCAGAGTTATCCTTAAATTGTTCTGGTAAGATGGGTATAGCTTCCTTTATTTTAAAGGACACAGCCATAGCTTACCTCAGAATTCTGTTTGGAATTTAACAGCCATCTCTGCCTGAAACAACTCCTTGATTTTTGCCCTAAATCCCATGGCTTACAATTTAAGACCATTTCTTATTGTGGAGAGGATGAAGCATAGCCACCTGCTACCGTGTCATTATCAGTCTTTGTGAATCAAAGAATAGTAAGGCTTGAGGGACTCTTAGAGCTTATTTGACTTAACAGTTTTCATAATGCTAGATTCCTCTCTGCTTCAGTACTTTTAGTGATACAATCTCCTACCATTAAGTAGTTCTAATTAGCAGCAAGTTAATTGTACTTGAAAATCAATAAATTGTTTCTTTTCTAGGCTCATGGTTCTGTCTCTCTGAACCCTTTTTCCTAAGACTGCTTCTTAATTTTTCCGAACGTCACCTTTGTTTTACTCTTCTAAACCACCTCCAAGTAAGTGATAAGGGTCTGATTTCTCTCAATATTGTCTCTCTCTTTATTATTTTAGTTGTGAACTGATGAGTGTGATTCAAAAAAAAAAATCAATCTATGGAAATTGAACAAAACTTAGTTTGTGCTTTGGGAGAGGAGAATTCAGTTCTGGAAATGACAGTAATGTTTCAGGAAAATTATAGCTTTGGAGTAGTACTTTGTAGTTAAGTAGCACCTCATACTTTCAAAGAATGCTCATATTCATGATCTCATTTAGTCTGAACAGACACCCTGTGTGTTGGGTATGGCATATATTATTGATCTAGTTTGACAAAACTAAATCTCAGTGAATAAGTGATTGGCCTAAGTTCATAAGGTCTGATAGAAGCAGACATCTCTCATCCTTGCAGTCTATTGTCTCCTGTGTTTATCCTATGTTTATTTAGTCTCTATCTCTGACAGTGCTTAGAGAATTGGGTGAGAACTTCCAGGGAGAATAATGTAGATTCCATTTGACTGGAGGGATTATTCATCATCCCAGTGTGACTCATTCCCAGGGAGTAGCTTTACATCTTTGAGAGTCTGCTGACAGCCTGCATTATGTGTGTTGGCCACCCTAGGGTACCAATGTATTGGCAAGTCCACTTTGGTCTAATACTATCAAGCCCATGCTGCAGCCTCCACACATCCTATTCAATTATCAATTGGTAAAGTAGATAATTAACTCTGATGCTGGGGAATACCACTAGCTACTCTACATTGACCTTTCTTACATGCAGCTCAGTATTACTAAGATTGATGAGGATCAGATACTGTTTTAGTCCATCTGTGTTGCTATAACAGAATACCTGAGACTGGGTAATTTATAAATAATAGAAATTTATTTTCTCACTGTTCTGGAACCTAGACAGTTCAAGACCAAGGCATAGGCAGGTTTGGTATTTGGTGAGGTGTCGTTCCTCTTTGATGACACCTTGTTTCTGCATCCTCACCTGGTGGAAGGCAGAAGGCAAAGACAGCAAGAGAGAGCAAGGGAGCTCTTTGAAGCCTTTTTTTCTGTAGTGGCATTAACCCATTCATGACGGTGAACCCCCATGACTTAATCACTTCCAAAAAGCCCCTCCTCTTAATACTGTCACATTGGGGATTAAATTTCAACACATGAATTTTGAGTGGGATGCAACATTCAAACCAAAGCAGATACCTAAGCTAATATGGTGTTAAAATTAAGTTTACACACCCTTGTGCACTCTTGGTAGGAATGTAAAATGGTTCAACTGCTATAGAAAACAGTATGGTAGGTCTTCAAAAATTAAAAAATAGCATTATCATATGAGCCAACAATTCCACTTCTGAATATTGAACTCTGGCACATGAATTGTACTTTAGACTTGGTCTCAACTTGAAGCAAGCCTTTTGTCCCTCACCTCCATCAGTCATTGGTTATGGGCTGCAAGGGTTGGGGGTGTGAGGAAGCTTTAGGCTAGGGGAATCCCTGAAGGAGAGAGTGGCTATGAGCCATTAGCACCCAACACTCACAGTAGCCTGTATGTGAGTCCATTGGCCAGGTGGAAGGGATGCAGGCAGGACACCCATGGAAACCATCAATCACAAACTTGTTGGAGAAATGGCTGATTCCAGATCTGAAACAGAAAATATAGAATGAGCTTGGCACGTCTTGTCAAACCAGAAAGTAAGGAAGCATCAAAGACTACTGGGATCATGTCAGGACCAGGACTAAACTGGGAGAGGCTCCTACTGCTCAATCAATAAGAATAATGATCATGGCAGATTGGAATACATCCATATATTCAAAATCTATGAATCTATGATACTGTTTAAAACCATCTTATTGGTGACTTTTGGAGAATGCTAGGGAACTAACTCTTTTTTTTCTAAAAAGTGGTAAAGGGAAAGAAGCAAGCATTTTCCTGTCTTTGCTTTAAGGATTATTATACATGGTAATCAAATTGTTGTTGAAGGAAGAAGGAATGATGAAATTACAATTTCACCATCTTGCAAGCCCTGATAAAATAACGAACCTAGACACATCGATGACTGCTAATACACGAGAGACAACCATTCATATGCGTCTCCTGATGAAAGTATACAAAAATACTTAAAGTATTCTTGCTAAAAAATTGAACGTAAATCAGATCAAATTGCTAGTTGTAATTATAGATTTACATAAAATACAGGTGACAGAGGAATATATTAAATGATAAGGCGAAGATAGTGAAGATACGTTTAGGATTTAGCAAAGTTGCGGTGTGGGAAACTCTAAAACAAATACCCCCAGTTTCTTTGACAGATTATAAGAAAAAATGTGGGAGTGATAGTCTATACATGAAAAGAGACTTAAAAGAGCTACCAACCAAATGTAACATGTATGCCGTATTTGGGTAAATAAACTGAATATAAAAAAGTAGAAAGTGGGGGAAATATGAACAATGATTTTTTTTTTTTTTGAGACAAGTTCTCACTCTGTCACCCAGGCTCCAGTGCGGTGGCAAAGTCATGACTCACTGCATCGTCAACCTCCTGAATTCAGGTAATCCTCCTGCCTCAGTCTCCTGAGAAGGTGGGACTACGGATGTGTGCCACCATGCCTGGTTAATTTTTAAGTTTTCTTGAAGAAACATGGTCTTGCTTTGTTGCCCAGGCTTGGATATTTAATGATATTAAGACACTTATAAAAATACTTTAGATTGATAATGGTATTTTGATTTAAAATAATCCTTATCTTTTAGAGATGCATACTAAAATATTTAATAATGAAGTAAAATCCCTCAGATTGGTTTTAAAATCATCTGGTGGGGTAGGGCAGAAAATGTGGATAGGGGTATAGTTGAAATAGCACTGACCAGGAAATAGTGATTGTTAAAGCTGGGTGTGTAAATGGCAGTTCTCTATACTTTTCCTTTGTTGTATAAGCATAAAATTTTCCATAATGAAAGGTTTAAGAAGTTAGGTAAAAGAAACAAACCTTTACTTGAAGTTTGCATCGTCGACATTTTTGTTTTCCATAGAGCAAGCCTACATTTTTGGTAATAACATTTTGAGATTTTAGATATTGTGTTTAGAAAGGCAGAAGGTGGAAATATTGTTCCTGTGGCCATCTTCTGATTTCTTTTTACTTCTTTTTTTCTGTTAACAAAGAACTGTTTGCTTATTTGTTGACTTTTTACTTAGAACATTTGACAAACCATATTAGTAAGTGGTGTATAAAATGTGCTTATTATTTAAAACTTAAATAATATAAAATAGACAAGGAATTATATAGGCATATTCTTCTGTTTGAAAATCTACAACTGATTTTTTTCCCCCCAAGACTACTGTTTTTGTTCTTTGCTGATTTATTGGTCTGAGACTAGAATCATCATCAAAATAAAACTGACCTTAAAGACAACATGGGCTGGGTGCGGTGGTTCACAACTGTAATCCCAGCACTTGGGAGGCTGAGGTGGGTGGATCACCTGAGGTCAGGAGTTTGAGACCAGCCTGGCCAACATGGTGAAACCCCGTCTCTACTAAAAATATAAAAATCAGCTGGGTGTGGTGGCATGCGCCTGTAATTCCAGCTACTTGGGAGGCTGAGGCAGGAGAATCAGCTTGAACCTGGGAGGCAGAGGTTGCAGTGAGCCGAGATTACGCCACCTTACTCCAGCCTGGGTGACAGAGGAAGGCTGCATCTCGGAAACAAACAAGCAAACAAACAACAACAACAACAAAGCAACATGCTATCACATTGCTTGACTTCGTCTTGCTGAAATTCAAACGATAGCTGTTCTAACAATTTTTTCTTAGTAAGTGGAATTCTTTCATTTTAGTGTTACTTTATTCCAGCAGATTACACATATATCTTTTCACAGAGGTCATGAAATTTTGATGATGGCTAAAATGTAAGATATTGAGTTGCTTAATCGATTTGAGTTAATCTTTAATATTGACATCACATGCCATTATGTGACTCTGCTCAGGAGATACCTTTCCAGTGGTGGATTATTTGCTTTTATTTTGTTGCTCATACTTTTAATTTTCTGTTACTAAATAGGGAGGCAAGCCAGTGATTTATACATTTCTAACTCCGTTCATAGCTTAATTAAGAAAGTTTGAAACTATCCTAAATTAGGATGCTTTAGAATTATCTGTGAATTTTATTTATATATTAGTCTTATTAGAAATAGGCATTGTTAATTGAGAATGGAGTGTAATTTTTAGCTACTTTGCCAAACACAATAAAAATACCCCATTTACTTTCTCCAAAACTGGATAGCTGGATGTGGATATCTTTCAGAAGCAATGGGGTCCTTACAGGACATGTGCTTTCATGCTACTAATGTTCATAATTTGCAGCCACAGAATAATAGTTATTTTTAAGTGGCTAGCATTCATGTTGAAAATGAGTCCATTTTTCTTGGCCATCAGAATAACCATTTCCCTTGAACTATGATAATCACTTCTGACATATTGCTTTGAGCCTTTTCTCCTTCTGCATTTCAAGAAGGTTAAACATTATTGAGCATAAACCTTTGTCCCAGGAGTTCAGAAGGGCAAAAATTACACATTCAACCTGAACATATACTTTAAAGTGGATTTCTGTGTTCATTCAGCTCTTGCAGTTTTAACCAAGAAGCGTCTGAAAAATCGTTAGCCAAGTTTCTTGTGCACGTGCCACCCCCTCCCTTTATTTGGTGCTTTTTTTGGTCTCTGTGAAGCTAAATATTAGCCACCCATTTAATAAAATGTGAATGAGTTAGGCTTGAATTCTTCCACTAATGGCAAATTACAGAAATTATGATTTTTTTTACCAGTAAAGAGAAACCACTTGGATTAAATTTTTAGATTGTTGATCTTTTGAGTTGTACTATTTCTTGTTTTTAGGAGTAAAAGGCTGAATACGGTTGGAGAATTTTAGAATTCTGTGGCCTACGGCTTGCTCTTTAAAACTTGGATTTTTCAAAAACATAAAAATAAACTTTTGAGTTTAAAGATGGGAAATGGGGTGGGAAGATCAGTCAATTGGATGTCAGGTATTGTCTGATTCTTTTATCAGTTACTTGCTTTATATTCTGATTTTCACTTGTTCTTTTATTTCTTTGTTGTTGTTGTTGCTTTTTTTTTTGAGATGGAGTCTCACTCCGTCACCCAGGCTGGAGTGTAATGGCGTGGTCTTGGCTCACTGCAACCTCTGTCTCCCGGGTTCAAGTGATTCTCTTGCCTCAGCCTCCCGAGTAGCTGGGACTACAGGTGCGTGCCACCACACCTGGCTAATTTTTGTATTTTTAGTAGAGATGCGGTTTCACTATGTTGGTCAGGTTGGTCTTGAAATCCTGACCTCATGATCTGCCCCCATTGGCCTCCCAAAGTGCTGGGATTACAGACGTGAGCCACCGTGCCCGGCCTTATTTCTTTAGTTATATATAACTTTGAGAAAGACAGTATTTTATATTACTAGGGACTATACTAAGTGTTTCATTAATCGATATTTAAAAATATCTCTTTCACTAATTATGGAACCAGATAAGTTGAAAAACCGAAAAGTACTGCTTTCTTTTCTTCTTCTTCTTCTTCTTTTTTTTTTTTTTGAGACAGAGTCTTACTCTGTCATCCAGGCTAGAGTGCAGTGGTGCGATCTTGGCTCACTGCAACCTCCACCTCCTGCCTCAGGCTCCCAAGTAGCTGGGATTACAGGTGTGTGTCACCATGCCTGGCTAATTTTTGTACTTTTAGTAGAGACAGGGTTTTACCATGTTAGCCAGGCTGGTCTCTAACTCCTGACCTCAAGCGATCTGCCCGCCTTGGCTTCCCAAAGTCCTGGGATTACAGCCATGAACCACTGTGCCTGGCCTAATATACTGCTTTCTTAGAAACATACTAAAATGGTTCCTCCAAAGTAATTTCTTCATTGTAGTTCTATCTCTTATTCTGACTTTAGTAATTATAAGAATTATGTCATTTTAGAGGAAAGAGACTGTGCTTTGTGTTCTAAACCTTAGCCCCAGGGAATTATAAGATTTCGATACATTTTTAATAATGAATCTCTAGACTATTTTATTTTTCTGAAGAGTTATTGCTTAACTTTTGCTAAGAGAAAATTGTAAGGTGAGAAGTCGGAGTAAAGAATGGATAAAAGGAAAATCATACGTTCTGTTATTGTGATGAATTAACAAGTTGGGTTGTATGTTACATATCCAAAGTACCTTTCTGGATACTCTTTTGAAAGTTATCTATTCATTGTGGGAATAGAAATTTTAAAAATGTCTTTATCATATGCTACAATAGCACCTACTTTAGTAATGGGCTAGACCCAGTTTAATTTTGCTTGAGCTACGACTTAAACCTGTTAGCAAATGTAAGCACTATCATGGAGGGTCTAAGAGTGTGCATTCTGGAACTATACAGCCTAATGTGAGTTTAAATTTTGGTTTCAGCACTTACCAGCTCAGTGCCTTTAGGCAAGTGAGTTATTTAGTTTCTCTGTGGCTCAGGTTCCTCCACTTTAGAATGGGGGTCATAACTTTATAGTGTTATTGTGTGGATTAATCTATTTATAGATTTGAGTAAGCAAGAAAATTTAACCATGGTACACTACTTAATTCAAGAGTGAATAATATTAAGATGCAATTAACCATAATATCAC